TGGTGACTAAGAGAGGAAAGGTAGTCCGCACTGAAGGGGTCTCACTCCCTGAAGGAACAATAGCAGACATTGAGGACAGCTACAAGTACCTCGGTATACCACAAGTCAATGGCAACCTCGAACTGGCAACAAGGAAAGCGGCTACGGCCAAATACCTCCAGCGGGTGAGGCAAGTCCTAAGAAGCCTGCTCAATGGCAAGAATAAGACCTGGGCAATAAACAGCTATGCCCTGCCAGTGATCAGATACCCTGCAGGAATAATAAGGTGGCCAAAGGAAGAGATTCAGACCACGGACGTGAAGACCCGAAAGCTCCTAACCATGCATGAAGGGTTCCATCCCTGAGACCGTATGCAAGCCGAAAAGAAGGAGGCCGGGGACTAGTGAGTGTGAGAGCCACCTCGCTATCCGCCGCACGTGACCCTGAACCGGAAATGGTCCTGGAGAAATATCCGTTCTCTGCCGTCTGCTGGTCACAGTTTGTCATTGCAGCCTTCTGAAAGAAAACCATATTGCTGTATTTATAGGTGTGTTCACACGGCACACATTTTCTCCGGTGCTGCACCGATGTATTTTGTTGCAATATATCTTACACCGGAGCAAATTTTGTGGAGCATTCACACGTACAAAGCCGCTGAGCGTGTTAGCACTGGTGCAGCGCCGGTGCAGCCCCACTTGGGTTCACACGGCAGTTTCTGCAGCGGAGCAAAACGATAGAAAACAAAGAGCTGTCGTGTTGATTCTTTCTTTTTAAAACATACACAACACAAGCAACTACTGTACAGGTACGTCCTTCTCCTTCTCGGTCTCCGTGCCTTCTGCTCAAGAGGCGTTCAATGACCGCCCCTCGAAAACGTAAATCAACAATGACTTCAATGACACTCAGAAAAGCAAACATATAATGCGCCAAACAGAAAATCAAGAGAGGAAATCACAAAATAAATTCTATGTAGGGGGCGGGGTGGGGGGTGTGAACACACAACAGAGGAACAAACTACACAAACAACTCCGAGACAGTCCAGTCTCCTACAAAAGGAAGATGATGTTTGGGGACTATCCCCCCCCCCCTCAATTCTAGTTGAGATGGTATAACCCAAGAGGCAAGGTGCCGCTTGCTACTGTTCTTGCCAGTTGCCATTCTATCGATTCTACTAAAGCACCAGTGAAACGCCATCATGTCTTGTGTCGTTATTAGACAAACAGATGACGGAAGTAAAACAGAACATGAAAGCAACGCATTCTCGCCGTATGTAATCAGCTCTTCTCATGGGTAGCGAGGCTACTCCCTCCCGCAAACGAGCATTTGCTCCGGAGCAAATTTTTAACCCTGTAGCGTTCACACATACCATTTTACATCAGTGCTGCCCCGCAAACAAGCATTTGGTCCGGAGCAAATTTTTAAACCACCTCCATGAGGTGGGTTAAATTTGCTCCTGAGTAAGCTGTTTTCAGGGGTTACACCGGTGTAACTTTGCACGTGTGAACGCTCTCCTGGGGTAGCCCTGGCACAGCACCAGAGCAAATGTTGCCGTGTGAACACCCCTTATTTTGACCCTACAAGAGAGACCCATTTTGACGTGCATGGCCATTTTGCATGACCAGCCATCTGCTGGCCAAGATTTGTCATTGCAAACTTCTGAAAGAAGAACAGCCTATTTGCTATTACCCTCGAAAAATCAGCAGGAACACATAATGGCCACCCTGTGAAGATAATTTTGTGACATTTGATGGATTTTTTAAATTTCTCAACAAAAAAAACACTACAATTAGTTCACAACGGTGGTTTTTCACCACTGTTTCCACCTTGTTTGTGAATCTTCTTCACTCTCATTGCGAGAAGGGCCCCATTGGGACGTGCAAGGCAAAAGTCGATTACTGCCCTTTTGTGGACACAATTTTTCATTGCACCCTTTTGAAAGATTACCATATTATTTATTACCCTCGAAAAATCATCAGGAACACAAAATGCCCAGCTTGTGAAGATCATTTTGTGGCAACTGATGGATTTTTTCCATTTCTGAAAACAAAAAACATTGCTATTAATTCACAACGGTCGTTCTTCACCACTGTTCCCATGTTGTTTTTGGATCTTCTTCACTCTCGATTGCGAAAAGAGCCCCATGGGACGTGCACGGTAGAAGTCCGTCAATTCCCTCTTCTGGTCATAGTTTGTCATTGCAACCTTCTTAAAAATACCATATTTCTTATTACCGTCGAAAAATTAGCAATACGACAAAATGGCCACCCAGTGAAGATAATTCTGTGACATTTGATGTATTTTTTTAAACTTTGTGAACTCAAAAAAACGTGACAATTATTTCACAATGGTCATTCTTCACCACTGTTTCCACACTGTGTATGGCTCTTCTTCGTTCTCAAACGCAAGAGACCTCTTTGGCCATGCACAGCAAGCGCTGATAGCTTCCCTCTGCTCGTCAGAGTTAGCCACTGTCACCTTCTGAAAGAATGCCATCTTATTTCTTAATACCCGACAAGAGAGCATCACTCGGATGTGCAAGGCAAAAGTTGATCCCTGCCCCCCGCTGGTCATAAATTGTCATTACAACTTTCTAAAAGAATACCATCTTCCGGTATTTCTTGAAAAGTCGATCACTGCCGTCTGTTGGTCACAGTTTGTCATTGCAACCCTCTTCAAGATTATCATATTTAGGTCTTATTTCCCTCGAAAAATCAGCAGTAACACATGAAGGCAGCCCTTTGAAGATCATTTTGTGACATTTGATGGATTTTTAAAAAAATTTCTGAACGAAAACATAATTACAATTAATTCACAATGGTCGTTCTTCCCGCTGTTTGCACCTTGTGTATGGAGTCTATGGACTTTCTTCGCTCTCAGTTGCGAGAGCCCCATTGGGACGTGCACGGCAGAAGTCCGTCACTGCTCTCTGCTGGTAATAGTTTGTCAGTGCAACATCCTTGAAGAAGATTTGTGATGACAATCGAAAAATCAGCAGGAACACAAAATGGCCCCCCTGTGAAGATAATTTTGTGACATTTGGTGGATTTTTTTTTTTTTTAAATTTCTGAACCCCAGAAACATTGCTATTAGTTCACAACGGTCGCTCTTCACCACTGTTTCCACCTTGTTTGGATCTTCGCTCTCAATTGCGAGAAGAGCCCCGGTGGGACTTGCAGAGTAAAGTCCGTCACTGCCCTCTTTTGGTCATAGTTTGTCATTACAACCTTCTGAAAGAATAATAATAATAATATTAATAATAATAATACGTTTTATTTATAAACGCCTTTCAAAACACCCAAGGACACTTTACAATCAGGAACAAGAACAAGATACCGTCTTCCTGTATTTCTTATCCTCAATGGATCAAGGCCGTCTGTTGGTCAGTTTCTCACTGCAACCTTCTGAAAGTTGACCATGTTATTTCTTATTTCCCTCGTAAAATCATCAGTCCCACAAAATGGCCACCCCGTGAAGATAATTTTGTGACATTTGATGCATTTTTTGGATTTCTGAACACAAAAAACGTGACAATTAATTCACAGCGGTCGTTCTTCACTGCTGTTCCCATCTTGCGAAAGGCTCTTCTTTGCTCTGAAAATGCAAGAGCCCTCTTTGGCCGTGCACAACAAGCGCCGATAGATTCCCTCTGTCATCTTCTGAAAGAATACCGTTTTATTTCTTAATACCTGACAAGAGAGCCCCGCTTGAACGTGGAATGCAAAAGTCGATGACTGCCTTCTGCTGGTCATAGTTTGTCATTGCAACCTGATGAAAGAAAACCATCATATTTCTTATCACCTTTGACAAATCAGCAGTAATACAGAATGGCCACCCTGTGAAGATAATACTGTGACATTTGATGGATTTTTTTAAAATTTCTGATCACAAACAACGTTACAATGAATTCGAAACGGTCCTTCTTCACCACTATTTCCTCCTTGTGTATGGCTCTTCTTCGCTCTCAAACGCGAGAGCCCTCTTTGGCCGTGCACCGCAAGCGCCGATAGCTTCCCTCTGCTCGTCAGAGTTAGTCACTGCCATCTTCTGAAAGAGTACCATATTATTTCTTATCACACTATGTATCTACCCCGGTCAAGGATGACGCCTCGAACCGACGTCCAAAAACGTTTATTCGTGTAACACCGTGAAAACTAAAGGACATTTCAAGATCAACAATCAATAATCTTTTTAACAAGACATGAAACAAATCAGCAGAAATAACACTGTGTGCACCTTGTTCAACCGAAAGTAGATAAACTCAAATAAAGTCGATCAGACAGTAACGTTTCGTCTCTCTCTCTCTCTCTCTCTCTCTCTCTCTCTCTCTCTCTCTCTCTCTCACTCTCACACACCATCTTTCTTTCTGGATCTCTCTCTAATTCCCTCGCAATCCGCCACACGTGACCCGGATTCGGAAATGATACTCGAGAAAACATTCCAAATCCATCTTGAAAAGTTTTCAAGAAAAACATAAATATCAAGTTTCATACGGAAACATAAAACAATTTTACAAAACAACAACCTCAAATAAATTAGATCCTAGTTTTCTTGGCAACCAACGGATACTGGCGGAAGCTCCACCCTACAAGAGAGCCCCATTTGGAAGGGCAAGGCTAAGGTTGATCACTGCCGTCTGGTGGGCATAGTTTGTCATTGCAGCCTTCGGAAAAAAAACATATTTATTTTGACCCCACAAGAGACACCCATTCAGACATGCATGGCAAATTCGATCACTACCGTCTGCTGGTCAAGGTTTGTCATTGCAACCTTCTGAAAGAAGAACATATTATTTCCTTCTACTGTACCCTCGAAAAATCAGCAGTAACACAAGATGGCCACCCTGAAGATAATTTTGTGACATTTGATGGATTTTTTTTATTTCTGATCACAAAAAACTAGTTCACAACTAGTTCACAACCTTGCTGTTGCCGAAACTGCGCCTTTTTTGCAGGGACAAGAGTGGCGCGGATTAGAAGCAAGCGCTGAAAAAAATCACCGCGCACACGCGCGATGTCCGAAAATTAACAGTTGCCGCCTGCCTGGACCTGCTGTCGCTGCAAAGCGAGGAAGCCCGGGTGTGCCGTGATTTGCAAGCAAAGCCTGAAAAACCTCGCCGCGTCACCCCCATTGTCTTTTAAGCGTTGCCTCGGCAACGCACAACTGTCGGGAAGTGAACCGATCCGGTCCGCTTGCTGTTGCCGAAACTGCGCTTTTTTTGCAGGGCCAAGAGTGGCGCGGATTACAAGCAAACTGAAAAAAATTACCACGCACACGCGTGATGACCGGAAATTAAAGGTTGCCGCCCGCTTGGACCCGCTGTTGCTGCGCGAAGCGAGGAAGGCCGGGAGTGCCACAATTTGCAATCAAGGCCTGAAAAACCTCGCCGCGTCACCCTCGCTGTCAAACGCTACCGCAGCAAAACGCAACTGTCGGGAAGTGAACCGATCTCGTCGGCTGGATTTACCAGTCGCAGTGCAAGCTCCTTCGATTCCAGACTGAGGGGCCTAGCGACGCCAGTCTCACGGAGGAGAACCAGCACCCAAGTTCAAGTGCGCTGGCCGCGCGCACCGCCGAAAGACCACAGAAGGAGAGAGGGCTTTCCGTGGCAAACACAACCCTCTCAGGAAGATGGAGCAGACCCCAGGAAGGCAGGTCAAGTGTTGCCTATGCATCATCAGCATCATCCTCCTCCTCCTCATCATCAGGGGTTTAAGTGCAGTCACGGTGGGCACAGAGGCCCACAAATGGATCAACTTGCCACATGAGGCCCGACGCTGGGAGGCAGGGGACAACAAACTCACAGGAGGAAGAGACATTGCAATCCTCGGAGGCTAAACTGGTACCTTTATCAATGTCACCCAGCTGGACAGAGCAACAGTGCTCACTATTCCACTTTCCGCCTTTCAATCTACCCCACCCGTACAAACTCGCTGTTGTGGTGTGGGGTGGGGGGGGGGAGCTTCAACACCTAACCCAACTACGTTCAGTGAATGGGCTGATTATTGGTTTTATTTAACTTGCCTCCTGGATCCAAAAAATGATAAAAGCTGGCAGGCATGGGAGAATGATGTTACCTCAATTTTCGGGAATTATTATACAAATCCTACACGAAATCTGGAAGCACAAAATTGGGTCGAAAAGGTTAAAATAAGCAAACTCAAGATCACGAGGGGACTTCAATAAGTTTTGCTTTTTCCTCTATGACTGCATTACCAAATACCATGTTTTGTGGCTTGTTTTCTGGGCATGGTATAATGGAGGACCACACCCGCATGTCCCCATCAAACTGTGTGTTGTCCCTCCACGTGTCCCCGACCAGGTGGGATACCAGGGTGACAGCCCGC